GGGGCGGTCACACTGAGCCCAGGGGACGGCCCCTAGGAGGGCCCTGGGCACCCCTAGCCGGACTAAGCCCGGGCTCCAGTGGAGGACAAGGGGCCCTGTGTACAAGCCACCAAGGAGCCAGCTTGGAGATGCCAACCTGCACGCGTGCACTTGCGCCCGGCGCCCAGCCCCAGCCCTGCTCACCCCTAGCACGGCCTGCACCAGCGGCGTCTTGCCCTCATCCTCTGTGTCTGCCCAGTTGACCTCAGCCCCGTGGGCCAGCGCCGCGGCCAGCGCGGGAAGGTCGCGGGTGCGCGCTGCACGGTGGGCCAGCAGCCCGGGGTGCAGCTCCCGCACGTCGGCCAAGCCCCAGGCCTCTGCCTCTCCGTCCACCTCGCCACTGGAGTCCTCGGACTCTGCACCCTCTGCAGGGGGGGAAGGGGCTCGGTCATCCACACGGACCTGGCCTGGAGCGGGGGCGGGGAAGGGTTGGGATCAGCGGTGTTGAAGGTGGGGCGGCAGGACACCCACCCTCCTCAGCGACGCTGTCGACCACAGAGCCCGCGCCGAAGGCCAGGACATCCGAGCTGCCGTCAGAGCTACCCCCTAAGCCACTGTCGCTGCTCAGACCTGCGGCGTCCGTGGGCAGAGGGGGTCCTGAGCATCCCTGACTCCTCCCCAAACCCCCAGCCATCCTCCAGGGGATAGCCCCAGGGGCAGGACAGTCCCCACTAGGGGGTAGGGGGAGCCCTGCTCAGGATGGGAGAATAGGGGAAAAAACAAGTAAGGGGCAGCCCCCCAGGGACACCCACCCTCAGGCAGGTCAGCCCCAGCAGGAGGGGCGGGCGTGTGCGCGCTGTGGGTGTTCACCCTGTTTGGGGCCCGGTCATGCTAGGTCACTGCCCAGGATGGGGTCTTGGCCAGGCCCTGGAGAGGGGCCCCAGGCAGCACTGACCGAGCTCTCAGCCGGGTCAACCAAGGGCAGCCCTCGAGGAAGGCCCCAGGCTCAGCCACGGTGAGGCAGCGCCCCCTGCTGCCAGCGGTCACCCCTGTCGCCCCCATCAGCTCTGCCAGTTCTTGGCTGAGGTCCCTGCCTGCTGCCCACACTGCCCAGGAAGGCTCCGCACGTGCCCCAGGCCAGTAGGTGCTGCCCAACCGTTAGCAGGCAGCCCTCGGGGGGGGGAGCTTGACGTGTAGCAGTTGCCCCCCAACTCCAAGAGAGATGAGAAAGATGTGCACAACTGTGTCCCAAGTTTTCTAGACCCCCAGCACACACATGCACATACACGTACCCATAAAATACGCCCGTATGCACACTGACACACACACGCTCCTGTGTGCACACAGCACACGCACACACACACACACACACATCACTCAAGGGTCATGGCCTTGGCCTCTAAGTGCCCAAGTTAACCTCAGCCCCTTGAGGTGCTATCCCGTCCCCACCCCCAGACCAGCCTCCCCTTACACCACCTCCGAGCCCTGTACCTCCTGCAAAAAACACCTGTCCTGCCAGTCCCCGAGCAAGTGGCCATGGTGGTCCACCCCCCTGGTGAGCCAAGCCTGGTCCTGCCCTGCTGCCCTGGCTGGCAGAGGGGTGGGCAGCAGGGACTGGGGGGCTCCCAGCACTTACTGCGTGGACCAGCCGCAGCAGCCCCTGCGTCAAAATAGGAGAAGAGCGAATCCAGCTCGTCGGGGCAGAAGAGGGAATCCCGGCGGAACCTACGCTCCACCGCGCCTGCGCAGGAGTGGGAGACCCAGGGCCCTCACACGGTGTACCCGGTGCACCCAGTGCACCCGTGAGCCCCACCTCCTGCCTCACCAGCCTGACCTCCCCGGGTCTGGCCTTGGTGGCACACCCCTAGTGGAACCCTCTCCCCACCCATCCAGGTCCAGGTGAGCCGGAAGCCCTCCCACCTGAAGACAGAGCAGCCACGGAGGGCAGGACAGGCTCCATCCGGACCTTGCGGCGGGCGGTGGGGGCACGGGGGGAGCTGTGCTGGCCCGGGCATTTCAGGGCCCGCCAGCGCCGCGGGGCTTCCCGGGCTGGTGCAGAGGGCGGCTTCCGGAGGAACTTCTTTTCTACGTACTTGTCCTTGATCCAGGCTTCCTTGTCCTGCCTGGACCGAAGTGGACATGAGGTGCGCTCGGGGCTGGGGCTCGCCACCCCATCCGTGCTGCGCCTGCCTCACCTGGGGCTGCTGGCCGTGGGCTTCCTGCTGCCCGGGCCCTCGCACTGGGCCTCGTAGATCTGGTTCACGGTGCTGTTTCCAAGCTCGCACATCAGCTAGCAAGAGACAAGGGTGTGGGCCTCAGCCCCAGCTTGCACACCCCCAGCTTGCAGAAGCATCCCCTTCCACCCTGCGCCAGTGGCCAGTGGCCTGCAATGACCCCCCCCACACACACCTTTAGCAGCTCAGGCTCCCACGAGTCCAGAGTCAGAGACCGCACTTTGGAGCAGTGGACACCCAGGCTCCTAGACAGCGGGGAGGCAGGGGTAAGTCAGGGGATGGCTGGGCCTGGCACCCCTGCCCGCCCGCCCATGGGCCCACCTGTGGATGCCTGAGCACTCGATGCAGAGCAGCACGCCCAGGTTGATGCTGGCCCAGCGGGGGTCCGGCTGGCCGCAGTCGCCACACTGGCCGTTGCCAGCCACGCCCTGCATGCGCTGAAGCACACTCTCTCCCTTGGTGCCGCGCTCCCGGGAGTCCGTGGCGGAGTCGATGCTGCTTGTAGATGGGGACGCCGTGCGGTCCAGCCTCTGGGGACGGTGAGGGGCCACTCAGCCCTCAGGAGCTCCAGCCTCATTTCCCCAGCAGGCCCCCTCCTCTCCCCAGCCAGAGGTGCTAGCACAGGCTAAGACCTCGAAGCAAAGCCCGTGCACACAGGTGAGCAGGCACACTCACATGCACATGCCCACAATGCACACACATACACGTGCATGCTTGCACTGCCCACACAGGCTCGAGGGCGGCCTGTGGGGGACACGTGCACACATGGAGAGTGCTGGTAGGGCCGCACCTCGCTGTAGCAGCTGTCCGGGCTCTCCCGGTACGCGGAGGCGATGCTGGCCTGCACGGCTTGGACCCAGGCCTGCCGCAGCTTCTCAGAATCGGCCTGCAGCATGCAGCTCCTGGGGGGAGGGGACATCAGGCCAGGCAGGCAGGGGGCCCCCTCCCTGACCCTGCCAGGCTGGGCTTCCTCACTTGGTGGGCGACACAACCTCGAAGCAGAACCTCCGCTCGATGTCCTCACATGGCTTCACGGAGCATAGGCGGAGGTCATCCACCACCACGGTCAGCACGTCCTGCAGGCAGCACATGGGGGCCCTCATGCTCAGCACCCAGCCCCGACCACCCACTTACTGCTCTGCATTACAGACCATCTGAGACCCAAGTGCTCCCTGTCCCCTGACTGCTCAGGCCATGATGCCCATCACTGTCCTCAGCCCACCGCAGAGCCTGGGTGAGGAGGGGCCCTGCACGAACCTTCAGCTTCTTCTGGTAGACCAGCTGGCTGTTCTGGATGGAGAACCAGCGCCTGGGCGGGAGGACAGGCCAGGAGGGGTCAGGCAGGGCCGGCCTCATGTCCACCCCACTGCCCTGCCCCCGAGGAGGCCCTCCCTCACCGGTTCCACGTCTTGAAGGCGTTGCTGGCCCTCTTGAAGAGGTAGCCCTCCATTACCACACCGCTGGGCGCGTCCACGTCGAACTCTGCTTTGGGCTCATCGTAGGAGAAGTCCTGGGGGGGTCGGAGCCAGGCCCCCCGTGAATGTCTACCCCAGACCTGAGCAAAGCCCCTACCCAAAGCCCCCTGGGGGCAGTTGTCTCACATCACCACTGGGGCTCCAGAGCCCAGGCCCCACCCCCACCGCAGCCCTGGAGAAACAGCAGGCTCTGGGATCAGGAAGGAAGCTGCCTCCCCCATCCCGCGTCCCCCATTCATGTCGCCAGCTGGGCCTGCTCCCTGCCTGACAGAGCTCCATTCACCAGGCTGGGGAGACACTGAGTGTTGTCCTGTGTGTTCAGCGGTGGGAGAGGAGGCCCAGCCACCTGCCTCCCTGGCTGAGCGGGGGCAGGAAGGGACAGCTGCTGGCACTCCCACGGGGGACGCATCCCGGCTCAGCCCCGTGTCCACACTGGTGCCAGCCACCGCTCACGGTGAAGTGCCCACCGGTGCCTGGGAGGTGTCCTTGGTGCTGAAGAGCCTCGGGGTGAAGGAGGGCAGAAGCCCCACTCACACGGCCCTCCCCTTCCTCCCTCCCCCTAGGGTGGACGCCTACTCACCTGCAGCAGCGTCTGGGGCAGAGCAGAAGGGGGTGGGAGGAGAGAGAGGACTCCAGTGAGTGACAGCTCCGCCTCCAGCCCCCCACCTGCCCAGGCTCCCAGGGATTCTGAAAGGGTAGCTCTGCCTGCAGCCCACTCCCACCCTGGGCAGTGTGGGGGCAACAGTCTGGCAGGTGACCAAAGAGGCTTCAGTAGGAGCTAGCGACTGAGTCCCCAGAGGCTACCACTGGTCTTGAAGGAAGGTCCCAGCTACTGTGTGCTGAGGGGGCTGGCCCTCTGCCCACCCCAGACCTGGCCACCCTGCCCCTCCTGCTCCGTTGTGTTGAGGCCCCTAAGGATGGGGACCCCAGCAGAGTGGGCAGGCCTGGGGGAAAGGAGGGGGCGGTGGGCCTCCCAGGTTAGTGGCATGGAGAGGGATGCAGGTGGTGCCTCTTGGTGTACCCCCTACCCGCCCCACCCCCAGGCAGGGAGGTCAGGGTCTCACCCGCTGCTGGATGGCAGCGTGCCTGTGCTCCATCTCCCGCTTCTCCACCGCCGAGTCGATCACCAGCTGGTCCAGCTACGGGAAGGGATGTCAGGGAGGGAAAGGGACCTCCTTCCCCTGAGACCTTGGCCGGGGTCCCTCCCCTCCCTGCAGGCTCACCTCGGCCGCCAGCTTTTTCATGTAGGGGTCCAGCTGGTGCAGCAGGCTGTAGCCTTGCTGGAAGAAGCTGTACTGGGCATGCATGAAGGACAGCATCTGCAGGCGGAGGCACAGGTGAGGCCACCTGCACCCAGCACACCTGCTGCACACTCCTGTACTAGAGGGCAGCCCCCCGACCTGTGCCCCTCACCAGGCACTCACAGAATCCAAGATCTCAAACTTCTTCTTGGCCTGGAGGACATTGATCTGCCAGGGAAGGGGTGAACAGGGGCAGCGTGTCGGGGTCGAGGTAGCCCGTGGCCTGCACCTTGCCAGAGTCCACTTGGGCTGCTTGTGGTTCCCTGAGACCTGCAGCTCATCTTCATATCCCTGCACTTGGGCCAACCCCATCCTCCCACGACCCGGAGTCCTTCCCACGTCAGGACGTTGGGTCCCCCCCATGGGCAAAGTCAAGAATTCTCACCCCTACTCCCAGGCCCCCGGCTTGTCCCAGCCCATCCCCACCTCTGGGCCTCTCTGGCTGCCACCCACCACGTCCCTTCCCAAGATCTGACTTGGGTTTTACTGAGCCAGAGGCACCTCTCCAGACGACAGCTCCGTCTGTGTGGGAACACCCCCCACCCCTCCATGCCCAGCAGCTGACCTGTAGCACGTAGTCTAGCGCGAGGTGGCGGAAGCACTTGCGGGTGAGGGTCAGGGCACCTGTGGCCTCCTCCACCTCATGGGGCCGGTGCCGCGGGGCCTGGGCATTCCTCACCAGGGACAGCTCCAAGTCTTCCCGCACTTTGTCGAACTGCTTCTTGGTCTCCTTGAACTTCCGCACGTCCCTGGGGGTGGCGGATATCAGGGTAGGGGCTCCCAGAGGCCTTCAGCCAAGGCCCCTCCTGAGCAGGCCCCAGGCCCCCCCAGATCAAGCACAGCAGGTCTGCTACCCACTCCAGCACCACTGACTCCTCCCAGGCTGGGAAAGGCCAGGCTCCCTCCGGCTCTGGGGACCTCAGGCCACTCACTCTTTGATGAAGTTGTGAAGCTGTTGGCGCACGGACCTCTGGGCCTGGTCAAACAGGATCTGGGGTTCGAGGGACAGGGGGGTGTTAGTGGTCTGTCCCCACATGACCCCAGGACCAGGTCCCTGTTCCTTCCAGGTGAAAACCAGGGAAAGCCCCACCTAGTCCAGCCTGGGCCTCCAGCTGCTCATCCCCAAAAAGCCGGCCTCACAGGGTCCAGGGGAGTGGGCGTGGCCCCCAGGCCTGGGTCGGTGCCCAGAGGCGACAGCTGTGACCACCTGCCCATCTCCCCTCCTGGCTCCAGGCCAGACTAGAAGCCAAAGCTGTCCCAGATGCGCCCCCTCCTACGACCCCACACCACACTGGCACCTGGTGACACCCACAGCCTCCTAACCCTGGGACGCCACCTTGAGGGTGTTCAGGACTGAAGGAGGAAGGATTAGGTTGGAGCCAGGGCTCCCGAGGGACCTGGCCTGGGGAGTAGGGGTGGGAGGTTGTTGGGAGCTGAAGGGCACCCCACAGCACTTATGGGACCCAGAATCAGATCCGCCATGTGGAAGCAGACAGACAGACAGACGGGCAGGATGAGCTGTTCTGAGCTGGTTTATTTCTGAACTTCCCCTGTGGGGGGTGGGGCCCCTTGTTTAGTCTGGGGCTCCGGTTCCCAGGCCATTGTCCAACCACCCAAGTGTGCCTCAGGCCCTGCTCTGTGTGACCGTGCTGGCAGACCCAAGGGCTCAAGGTCACCCAGACCCGCCCAGGTAGCAGGGAGGCTAGAGTCACCCAGGGGCCATGGGGTCAGCCTAGGAGGTGCTTCTGCTGCATGGCTGCCCACCCCTGCCTGGCTGGGGGGCCCTGGATGAACCTCCACAACGTCTTCCACACTGAGACCCCAGTGCCTGCAGCCCTGGGCTGTGGTGCCTCCTCCCCTGCCTTCCCCACTGTCTGACCCTCACCTGGGGCACAGCAAAGAGCCTTATGATGCCCCCTGCCCCACAGACTGGAAAAGCCGAAATGTGGCCTCTCCCAAAGCCGGCCCCACCAGCCAGCTCAGCTCCTTGGGACGTGCCCTTGGATAGGTCCTCAAAGACATCACCCCCACCCTGGCAGGCTTACCATGTGGTAGTTGACCATCTCCTGTAGGCTGTCTCCAAACCTCTGCAGACATTCCTGGAGGGCAGGGTGGGAGGCCCCTCACTCAGATGGGACAGTCATGCCCCCCGAGTGGCCAGCACCTTCCCAGAAACAGGCCACAGAACAACCCCTGCCGCCCAGCACAGATGCCCACCTGCTCCCAGGGCCTGGACACCCTCAAGGGGCTGCCTGCCCATGCCTGCCCCCGACCAGCAGTCAGAGATCAGCTGCCCCCTCACCGAGATGACGGTATCACCCTGGCATTGCTGAGACAGGTCTCGGACGCCGCTCACGAAGAGCCTGTTGGTGGTGACATAGGCCTTGCCGGCCTCGATCATGCCGCTGCACAGCTTAACCAGCTGCAGAAGGGACAGAGGGAGTGACGCTCAGGCCACCTGCCTTCACCGGCCCTCACCACGGCCGCCGAGAGGCAGGGGCAGCAGAATGTAGCTCGGGGCCCAGCAGTGCCCAGGACACAGCTGCCCTGAGCAGCCTGAGGCTGGGGAGGGACCATCCCTGCCTGCCCTCCACCCAGAGCCCACTGGGCAGCCTGGTGCCACCTGGGCCTTGGCTCCAGAGCAGGTCAGAGCAGGACAGGGAAGTCCAAACAGAGAACCCAGGGATGGACATGTGGTCCTGGCCAAGGGTCAGCAGGACCAGCCACTGAGGGGGTTTAGAGATGCTGCCCCTCCTTCTGCCCCATCCCCTTGGCCCCCAACCTGGTCACTCAAACGCACAGCCTCCCAGCAGCTGTCTCTGGCCCTGAAGACACACTGGAGGGACTCACCAAAGCCCATGCCCACCGGACGGAAGGCCCAGGGGCGGACTCATGTGTGTGCAGCCTGTGCACCTGGGGCAGGCATGGCAGGCACAGCTAGGGTGGCAGGGACACGGCCACATCTTGTGCATAGCACGTGTGGGCTCACACGCTCACACACGCACACACACAGACCGGTGGCTCGGTGGGGGGGCAGAGAGCCCCATTGGACCCCATGCACCCCGGCCCCTCACCTTGTCCAGCTTGGCTTCAATCTCGACCACATCTGTCTCCACCTCATCGATAGTTGCCCTGCAATGGGAATGGGTCGTCCAGGGGTCAGTCTGCAGTCAGCTGCCCTGACCATGTGTCAGGCTGGGTCTTCACCTCCCTGTGCACCTCCCCAAGGCGACTGCTGGGCTCATGGCTACTTGCTCCTGTCGGCTGACCCGTGGCCCCACGTCCCTCCGAGAGGCCAGGAAATGGAAGCTGGGAGAAGCTGACACCGGGAGGAGGCAGGACAGGGACCTAGGTCCAGCTGACTCCAGAGCTGCCCAACACCCACCACAACCCCAGGCAGAAGAGGCCCAGTCGGATGTGACACCCCCATCTAGGGTTGGGCTGCTGTGGCTCTGGGGAGAGAGGTCAGGCAAGTCTGAGGACAGAGAAAGGGGCTGGAACCCCAGCACAGGTACACACTCAGGGTGGGGACAAGGCAGGCCAGCTACCTTCTTGCCAGGCCCAGGGCCCGGAGATGACCCTACACACCAACTGGACCCCCCCCACCCCAGCCGGGTGGCCCCTGCAGCAAGCTCATCTCAGCCAGATCGCAGAGCACAGCGGCCATTCTCTCTGGTTCCCTGGGCACCTTGAGACCTCAGACTCCCTCAGCCTCAAAACAACCATCTGCCGGGAGAGAGGGGCGGGTCAGGCTTCGGAGGACACTCCCTGGGGCAGCCGGACAATGTGCTCTCTCGGGGAGGGGAGAGTTAACACATGACATCACCGGAGAAGCCACGGACAGGAGAATCCCCGGAAGGCAGAGGCAGATGGATCAGCCACGTGACACTCCCCCCCCTCCATGCTCCGGGAACAGGAAATAGGAAAATCAGGCCAGTATCCCAGTGCCCCCCCACACCCTCAGCTGGTAAGCTGGGCCCATCTGGCCTCCTGGGGTTGAGGGATAACAGGAGTGGGGCTCAGGCCAGGTGCGGGAGGCAGGCCTCCTGGGACAGGCCTTGGGCGGGGTCAGGCAGAGGGGAGGTAGGCAGGGAGAGGAGCATGTTCCAAGATTTCCCAGGCGCCTGGTAAGTAGGGCCTGGTTGCTCAAGTGGGGTGTAGCTCAAAATGACCTCCACTAGGAGCTGGGGAGGTGGGAGGGGGCCAGGGACCTTGTAAGGTCCCCACCAGTGTCACCTGGCAGGAGGTGGGCTCCTCTCTGAACAGTGCCCATCCCTTCCCGAGGGTCTCAGGGGACTACATTCTGGAGCAGAGAGGGGTCAGAGGGGTTGTCTACTTGTACTGGAGGTACAAGGGCACCCCAGCAGGGTGCCCCGCAGCCCACCCAGGACTGCCCTTCTGAAGAGCCTGGGGGTGTGGCCTGACTGCAGAAGGCTGGGACCCTGGGGACCCTGACCTCTGCTGTACCCTCTCCTGTCCCCCTCACAGGGTCCCAAGGCAGGGAAGAAACACCCACCCAGAAGAGCATGCTGCAGAGGGAGACATAGCCCTCGAGCCCCGGATACCCCAGTGCCCTGGGCAGCTGCACAGCAAGCTGCTACCCCTGGGCCTGGGCACCTGGTCCCTGGAGTGCAGCAAGGGTGGGGCTGCGCAAGGAGCCGATGTGCCAGCTCTCCCTCCCTGGCCCCTGAGGACCAGAGGCCTCCTCTTCTGCCCTCCCTCCAGGATTTCCTCAGCAGCTTGGCGGACAGAGAGGAGAGAGAGGCCGGTTCCCCCACCAAAGCCATGACTCAGTGCCTTAAGCCCCACCCAAGGGAGGGGGCACCAAGAACAAGAGGTGGGCGGAGGCCCCAGGCCTGTCTGGGAGAGTCTGGACCCCCCCAACCACATGCATGGGGTCTGTGGGGCTCTCCCCAGGTCAAGAGTGCACAGGCAGGGTCCCCCTTCCCAGGGCTGGGGCCACAAGCCTCACATCACTGACCACATCCTCGCTGCCCGCCTCACCCTGCCCCACCCGCCCCAGGCCAACCTCCAGGAAGCCCAGGTTACATCCTCAGCTGCATCAGAAGCTGAGCAAACGGGAACCTCAGGATGGCCTCAAACCCCCATTAAACCTCAGCCCAACCTGAAATCCAGAGCTAGGCTTCTGTGGCCCAGGGTCTGGGTGAATCCACCAAGCCTCTCCCCTAGGCCCAGCCGGGCACTTTCACGGGGCAGCCCCTCCCTGCCAGAGGAGGCACGACCAAGCCACAGCACCCAGTGCCAGTGCGGGTGCCACAGGCAGAGCAGGCTGGTGTGGGAGGGAAGACCTGGCGGTGAACAGGGTGCTGGGGCCCCAGACCTGACCAGGCCAGGTGGGCCTGGACCCTTCCACGCAGGGGAGGAAGAGCACGAAGCTCTGCGGGAGAGGCCGGGGCAAGGCCAGGGTGCCTNCCCAGTGCCCTGGGCAGCTGCACAGCAAGCTGCTACCCCTGGGCCTGGGCACCTGGTCCCTGGAGTGCAGCAAGGGTGGGGCTGCGCAAGGAGCCGATGTGCCAGCTCTCCCTCCCTGGCCCCTGAGGACCAGAGGCCTCCTCTTCTGCCCTCCCTCCAGGATTTCCTCAGCAGCTTGGCGGACAGAGAGGAGAGAGAGGCCGGTTCCCCCACCAAAGCCATGACTCAGTGCCTTAAGCCCCACCCAAGGGAGGGGGCACCAAGAACAAGAGGTGGGCGGAGGCCCCAGGCCTGTCTGGGAGAGTCTGGACCCCCCCAACCACATGCATGGGGTCTGTGGGGCTCTCCCCAGGTCAAGAGTGCACAGGCAGGGTCCCCCTTCCCAGGGCTGGGGCCACAAGCCTCACATCACTGACCACATCCTCGCTGCCCGCCTCACCCTGCCCCACCCGCCCCAGGCCAACCTCCAGGAAGCCCAGGTTACATCCTCAGCTGCATCAGAAGCTGAGCAAACGGGAACCTCAGGATGGCCTCAAACCCCCATTAAACCTCAGCCCAACCTGAAATCCAGAGCTAGGCTTCTGTGGCCCAGGGTCTGGGTGAATCCACCAAGCCTCTCCCCTAGGCCCAGCCGGGCACTTTCACGGGGCAGCCCCTCCCTGCCAGAGGAGGCACGACCAAGCCACAGCACCCAGTGCCAGTGCGGGTGCCACAGGCAGAGCAGGCTGGTGTGGGAGGGAAGACCTGGCGGTGAACAGGGTGCTGGGGCCCCAGACCTGACCAGGCCAGGTGGGCCTGGACCCTTCCACGCAGGGGAGGAAGAGCACGAAGCTCTGCGGGAGGGGCCGGGGCAAGGCCAGGGTGCCTCAGCCAGGACTAAGCGCCCAGCTGAGGCCCTGGCTGCACCTCCCTCCACAGCCAGGGTCCTGGAGGACAGTGGGCAGAGGCGGGCGCCCAGGATCCTGAGCGCCTGAGTTGCTCACACCCGCTCCCTCAATGAGCAACAGAGGATGGGCCAACAGAGAGGGTCGCCCCCACCCCTCGCCCAGGGCCTGGGGCCACTCGGGGTGGACCAGGCCCCTCATCTTCAGCCTCCCTTGTGCAAGAGGCTGGCTGCAGGAGGCCGAGTCCCACTGGTGCAGGCACACACAGGCCCCTTGTTGGCACAGCCCAGAGACCCAGCATGCACGCCACACATGACCAAGCGCACACGTGCACAGAGGCACAGTAGCTACGCCCCTGCGCTGTCCCATGTGCATGTGTGTAGTGGCACAGGGCACACACAGACACGCGTGCAGAGGCGTGGGTCCCAGTGCTGGGATACACACGAACAAACTGACGTGTGTTCAGTGCCAACACTCACGCCGGCGTGATAAACACACAGTACAGGCGTGTGTCCACGTCGAGAAGTGACACGTGACACGAGCGCGCACCCATTACTGGCCTACACGCATGTGTCAGGCGTGTCAGCACAGGGGTGCAGCTCACCCGCACTGGCACCAGGGGCGGGCACCTCAAGGCAGGGTGCAGCCGGGCGCACCTCCCGCGTGTGCAGCTGGCACACGGGAGATGCTGGGGCAAAGCAGACGCGCAGGGGCGGGCACACGAGCGGGCACACGCGCGGGCACACGGAGGGCACACGGGCGGGTACACGGCGGGCACACGGGCGGGCACGCCTGCACCCCAGAAACACACCCGGGGTGCGCGGCCCAGGCCTCCCCCAGCACCTCGCGCCCA